TATATATATTTATTTATTTATTTATTTATTTGCCATTAAATGGATTTTTGTCATCTTGGACCATCATCTAATGAAAAAGTATTACACTGATATTTCAAAAACAGAAAAAACAGTTTGAACAGAAAAATGCTTGTTGAACTAATCTCTTTCATAACTTTTTAAGGCAAATTTAAAAAAGGCTAATTTAAAGGTAACCTCTTTGGTTATATAGTTAATCTTCAGTTGATAGTGCTAAAAATTTAATGCTTTTTATATGGAGAAAATCTTTTTCCAAAAATTCTCAAAAATAGAAGTAAGGATAACTAAACAGTTTTTGTTTTAGAGTTCTGTTTAACTCTTCTATTAACATATAGATCAGAATTTTAAAAATCAAATCCATTAATTTCCTACAAATTTTTAAAGCCATAGGTCAGTTGTCATGTGAAATTTTACTATACTATCTTAAATATATAAACAACAATTCACAGCCCGAGTATATAACAACATCACCAAACGATCGCCTAATTACTTTGTTCCAATCATTTAAAGTAGCCATATTATAGCCTGATAATTAGGCGATCGTTTGGTGGTGATGTTATACTATCTTAACTTTATCATTTAAAACAAAACAGTTCACATTAAATGCAAGATGAATTAGAATAATTGTATATTTTTTTTTAAATAAAAGTTTATCATGNTGTTATTGTATTTTCTACTGAACATTTCCTTATAAAGCAATGTCGCAGGACACCCATGGATTCCAACCCTTTCTTCATCCCCTTTCCTTTCTCACCCACACTTCTTCTTCCCCATTCCCATCTTCCCCCTTTTCCAAAACAGAAGTTGTACTAAACAGTGAAACCTGTCTTATTACTACTACTACTACTGCATGGCTTTCATTTTAAAACAAGTTGATAATTAGAAGAAAGTTTATAGGAAAATCAGTAGTGTAATCAAAGGAACAATTTTAAATTTATATTGGATTTTTTCCTAAATAAATATAGAATTAAGTTTTGAAGTCTTCTTGAAATGTTATTAACTACTCTGTATATATGACTATAAATGCAAGAAATGTTTTCTAAGCTTTCAAAATGTAAAAAAGCAATAGCATATCATAAGAATTCTCTAAATCTGTATTGAAATCAGTGTTGAAAGCAATGATTTCTGTCTCTGTACCATACCTTTTCTACGATATTTGACAGGAACAAACTTTTGAAATAGAGTACATTTTGTAATTTTTTACGAATTTTAAATAAAAAAATTTTCTACTGCAGCATTATGGCATACCAACTGGAAACTGCTGGTTCATTGTTATTGGACAATTGATATATGTCCAGACAATGTCTTATTCCACAGTTAACTTCAGAATAATTTTTCAGAGATTATTAATATTGATTCGACAGCATGATTATAATTCATCAATGTCAATTATTTTATTATTTAAATCTAATACTATAAGATTTAAACAAAAAAAAATGCTCACATAAATATTTGGTTTTATTTACAGTTTATAAAAAACATAACTATATAAATGATAAGTATTTAAAGAGAATTTGATAATCTTTATCCCATCTTTTTACTGTAAAAAAATACTGTTAAACTTGCTCTTAAAAGTTCAAATGTTTATATATTCATTGTTATTGTTACATGAATTAAATAACCTCAATAATAAGCTACATTTCTGAATTATTTTAATATACTTTTAAATGTGATTTTGAAATATATAAGCACATCTTATCATATCTATTATTTACAATATAATAATAATAATATTAATAATTTAATTTTTGCTTTTGAATATGTAAAAAATTGGAAAAATTTACCTGTCTTGCCTTATGACTTGTTTCTATACCATGTTTTTTTAAGCAAGCTAATGCTCTTTTATCAGGTCTTTTTCCAATATGCCAGTCTCCTGTAGCAGCACTATCAATCAGCCACTAAAAATTTTATATGATTTTTTTATTCAAATTATAAAAAATAATAATATAAAATGATGATATATTTGATGATAAAACTAGATTTAAAAAGCAATAGCGAGACTATTATTTAACATGTAGGTATTTCAACAAAATTCAATGGACTTAATTTTGATTTTGAACACGTAGAAATGCTTTTTTTGCATTAAAATTTTTTGCTTCAAACTGTCAATTTTTAAAATTTTTCTTCCTGGGGAGGGGACTCCCTCCCCGGACCCCACCCCCATCTTTGCATGTAATATTCGTTTTCACAAAAAATTTATCTGGCCCATTATTATTCAGATTCTAGATCTGCTGCTGGTCAGTGGTGTCACAATTTTTTATTTTTCAATCAAGGGTGCCACTCAATGAAAAAGGTTGAAAAACACTGGTATAAAGTAATATATACAGTCCTGATGTACTGTTTCATAAACATTGTGCTTGTTGGCGTTCAGTTTACTTTTCAAAATATCTTTATTTTGCCAATTTGGAATGTAATTCATCCGTTGTCAAAAACTAAACTTCTAATATTTATTTTAATTAAAAGTATCTCATTAAACTGGTTACTGTAGCAATTATAAAAGTAGTAACCTTGTATACCAGCAAAAATTTATTTAATTTGACTAATACTTTTGATTTAAATACAGATTATCTTCAGGTATACTTAATAACAGAATGAAATAGAATCCATTCTGTTATTGAGTAGATCCTGATTTTTAGATCTTTTATAATTTTATTATGATTACAAATTAAATTAAAATTCTAATATTTACAAAAAAATTAGCAATTGATATAGCCAAATTTTGATAAGGGTAAAATTATAATTTTATCTTAAATGTAAATAAAACAATAATTTTACTTAGCAAATATATTTTTAAATGTTTGTTTATAGGGATGAAGATAATGATTTAAAGTCAAAGTTAAGGCAGAAATTAACAAGGGAGTCTGATGATTTTTTAGGGCAAACTATTATTGAAGTTCGAACTCTTAGTGGTGAAATGGATGTTTGGTATAATTTAGGTGAGATTATATTTTAATAATTAATTTTAGTCTCAGTAATTTTTCTTTAAAGGTTATTTTGTCTTGTGTAATGATAATTGTTTTAAATTTCTATAAAATGCTTTCTTATCTAAAATTTTTACTGTAGAAAGGCTTATAAGAATTTTTTAAGACAGAAAGAGAAGTTTTTATCATAAAAATTTTACAAAGTAAAAACACATTCTGATAATAGTATTTCATTTTTAATTCTAAAAGACATTATTGTCTCTAAAATTAAAATTTACATTTACATTAATTTTAAAATTTAAATAATAATTTAAGATAATATCTCTAATATATCAATAAAAAGACTATTTTATGTAATCAGAAAAATAATTATAATAAAAGAAGAAAATTTTTATTTTATAAATGGACTTAGAAATGAAGCTTAGAAAATATTCTTATTTAATTGTTTCCATTAAAAACTTTGCAATATTTATCATCATAAAATTCTGGAAAAATATTTTTCAAAATTTTTATACTTTGATATTGATATGAATTACAATTGCTTTGGAAATTAAATAAGTAAACGGAAAATTTATTCTTTAAGAGTGATTCAAATATATTAAACACAAAAATAAGATGATAACATGACATTTTCAGTATTATAAGGAATACTAAAACAGTTATCTACACGATTGATTTAAATTCTTTTAAAATAACTCTGAAATTCATGTAATAAAATATAGTACATTACTATTTTATATAGAAAGCATCTAGTGCAGAAATGATATTGATTAGATCTATTTTTATATAGCACTACAAAAATTTTTTGTAGTGCTAATAATAAAAATAAAAAATTTATTTTTTAATAAGTTTAAAGTTTAAATTTGTATTGAAAGTTTCATTGTAATTTTTAAATTATGTTATGAAAATAATTATGTTCTATGGAATAAATTTAATTTTTGATCTGTGTTCTGCAGTAAGTTTTTATTGGTTAAAGCAAAAGTATTAGAATTATCTATTATTGATTTACTGATGAAAATCAATAATTTATCATTTTATATTGTAGTTACCAATTATAAACAGCTTTCACTCATTGCAGTTTAGTACTTTCAGTTGTACAGATTGTATGATGATGATAATTCATTAGTATTTGATCCAAGTATACACAAAGCCACCCAGAGGAGAGAACAAAAGGACTAAATTATCCTGGGACCCAATACAATGTTGATTTCATTTACTTTCTTTAATATAATATTAATAATTTAATTAGTTACAGGGCTCCAAATATGTATTTTGCCATATTTTAGTTACAAAGATAGTTTATCAGGTGATTTTATCACTACTAGTATTATTTAGCAAATACAAAATATGTTACAATTTAATGGCTTGTTGTTAAATTCAGCACTGCTCTGTGCCATTGCTGCTTTCACTGCAATCACTGCTGAAGGTCTTTTAATAATGCACACAGGGCAGTGCTGCAGTTTCAAAATGGCAGATCTAGTGTAGCTGTTAGAATTGCTGTGAATTATTTATTCAAAACATTTTAAAAATAATTCATTTTTGCGATTTAAGGCTTTGTTTGAGAGGTAAAATGAATGATTTAAATTTAATGTATGCAGCTTCTTTCTGCAACATAAAGTAGTTAATAAAACATTTTAAATGTACAAGTTTTGTCAAATCTGATTTTATTTTACTAATAAGCATTTAAAAAGAAAAATTAGTACAAACAGAATATTGATTCATGGTAATCAAAACCTTACAACTTTACTGTCACATAGTGTTGCTACCAGGCTGGTTTTCACTCAGACAAGCCAGTTTTTAAATTCATGATCTGGATTGATTATTAATTTGTCTGGCTTTTATAGAAATTGTGAAGTTATAATAAAACAAAATAAATTTATAAAAATATTTGCAAGTATTTTATTTTAATGGTTAAAGACTAACTTTACATCCCCAAACTTATCCTTAGGCTAAGAGTGACAGAAAATGTACTTTTAAAATTCTAACTTGCAAATATCTCTGGCAAATATTATGTCTGTTCCAGCACAAGTCCCTAACTGGTTTAAAACTGGAATCACATTATTCAGCTCTTGGCTGTAAAATGACATTGCGCATGCCTGATTGGTTTCAAATTTAAACCAATCAGAGACTTGTGTTAGAACAAACCTATTGTCCAGGTCAGCAATTTTGAAAAGGTGGCAACACTACTGTCACATCATATAAGATTTCAACTTCACACATTTCCACCATGTAGACAGCATTGCAGTGAGAAAAGCAACTGAAACAAATACTGCAGATTTAACCTTAAACCAGTGAGACCTCTGCAAGGATCGCATTGCTTCAAGAAAACGAGTTTAGCAATGCTCTCAATGGCATTGCTTAGCAGTGTTGCAAGCAGTGCTTAGTTTAACAATAACCAATTTCTTAAATCAACAAAACATCAATTTAACAAACACCAGCTAACATCTTCAGCCATTTTTAATGGACATCATCAGGTTGTTTGACAGGATCAAATGCTTTTAAAGATTATAATGGAATATGGAACATCAAGCACAAAGGTGGCAAACACAAATTTAAAACCAAGCAATACATTATGATTGGTCATATTAGTTAACATAAGTTCAAATATATAATATGCCAACAATTACCGGATTATATTGGGCTATTATATTGCAATTATTAAATAATATGTCACTAGAGCAGTGGTTCTCAACCTTTTTTTCATCACGGCACACTTTTAGTACTTTAAAAATTTGGCGGCACACTAACAATAAGATAAATTGTAAAAAATTTTACTTCATTAATTGAGGGATGTACTGTACCTATAATATATTTTGTAAAAAGAGCATACGATAAGAATTTTCAATGAAATATAAAAGGAAATTGCATTACAAAGTAAACAAAATGTTTTGTGTCGCGGAAACGGCACACTTCAGAAATTTCGGGGCAAATCAGTGGCGGCACACTTCAGAAATTTCGCGGCACACTAAAGTGCCGCGGCACAGTGGTTGAGAAGCACTGGTCTA